TTAGAAGTCAGGGTAGGCCAGCATTTCTCAACTGGTACACCTGGGCACACTAATAGTGCCCTGAAAGGCAGCCAGGTATGACCCACATTAACAGAAGAGTAATTTATGAATTATTTTTATATTTAAAAAAAACTTTATTTTTAAAAAGCTAGAGACACCAAGCATATGGCTTCCATGTCTAAGTAAAGTATTTGTCATTTTAAACTGGATGCTAAATTCCTTAACCTTTAAGAAGGAGTGGACAATCCTTTCCCTTTTGGCTTCTGCATGGGATTTAAATCAGTCATTATCAGCTTCTCTAAAAAAAATATCAGATTCTTTATAAATCCCTTTAAATGAAAACAGTACCGCTAATCTTCTTTCAGAATGCTAAACCAAAATTTCATATTTTAGTTTTGAATTTCTTGATTAATTTTTTCTTATTAAAATTTAAAGTGTGCCCCAGAGTTTTAGTTATTCTACAAATGCACCCTGAAGTAAAAAGGTTGAGAAACATGGGTATAGGCATTGAGGTCATCTAAAAATTGCAATAGATAGTTTCTCCATCAAATCTTCTATACTGCTGCCTGAGGGAGAAATGTTTCCTAAGTCTATAGAAGGTGTGACCTGTATGCCCTATTTTCAAGAATGCTGGTAAGTGTTCATCCCCTTTGCAGTATTGACCCATCAGGCTCCTTATTGTCATTAGAAAAGTCTCTGAGGTTATCATCAACAAGGAAGTAGTTGCTCACTTTTTCAGAAATAACCTCTTGAGCAACAAACAGTATCAGTTTCACTATTCTATGTCCACTGCTTATTTAACTATCATTACACTCAGAATCAGTGAAGCTCTCTATCATGAGAGATATTGCTTTAGATATCTCAAAGGCTATTCACAAGGTGTAGCATAGGGGATTGCTGCACAAATTCTCCAGTTATACCATCTCTGGAAGAGTTTATGCAATTATAAAGTCCTTTCTCTCAGATACTCCCATGAAAGTCATTGTAAATGACCAGTCTTCTGAAGCTCATGAGATCAATGTTGGAGTCCCCCAAGGCTCTCACCTTAGTCCTACCCTTTTTCTAATATTTTATTAATGATCTACCTAGTGTCATGTCCATAAAGAAATGCATAAATAAAAAAATGAATTATACTGTCATGGTGTTGTTTCCATAAAAAAATAAATCAAAATTATAGCACCCAAAAAGTAATTATATTAAAATAATTATAGCAATTATAATTATCATTAATCCATACATTCTAAACTAATGAGAATCAATACCACTTTTCTCCTCTGCACACACAAACATGTGACATTCTCACAGTCAGAAAAGCAGTTCCGACAGGTTGTTAACATGTGCATCAATGAAAATTTTGTCTCCTTTATCAGGTCACATTAGTAACATTGGTCTTTTAGCAATCAACAAAAATTTGAGGTAAGAAAACCCCAGACACTTGTATTTTTCCAACTAAATTATCTGGACATTCATTACACATATCTATATTAAAAAAAAATTATGAGAAAGACTGTATACACTTTACTTATTCTTTATCTTATCCTTCTGTCAGATTCCAATCTATATTTGATTGATATTTAACTCCAAACTCATAATTTTAACAATGTTACTGTCCCTTGTGTCTCCATCACCACATAACAACCAGATAATAAATAATACACATTTTGTTGTTTCCACATCTTGTTGTTTCTCATTTTTATGAGTACTTTTGTATATATAAATGTTAGGGGGTTTATAATTATTTACTCAGGGTGGGGTGGGGAGTTATAATTATTTACTCACAGTTATAACTCCCCAACACTAGGAACCTTCCTATTCCTCTTTTTTTATTGTTCTCTCTCCTTAACAGTGTCTTTTTTTTAATCATATTCTCTAACACTCAGTAACCCCTTGTATCTTAGTGGCTTTTATTGCCTTATGTGAGGTGAAATGATTAAAAAAAATCATCAGTAAACATATATTTATACTATTTACACTGTTTGGACTGTTGTCTTCATCTTTACTGTTATATTCACAACATTTCGTTTGTTGTACACTCCGGCCTTCTTTAGGTGATATACACTAGAATTTTAGTCCATTGGGGTAATTTATTCTAGTTCCACATGCCATACGTTTTCTGGATATCTCCCTTTCAGTTAATTCCCTTCAGTAACTCAACGCTGTAAGTTTTTTTTCACCTCTGTGGCCAGGTATTGAACTCACAACTCTTTGGGTCAAGTCATTGGATTACTTCAAGCAATGCTTTTATCCACTGTGTCCTTGGAGTCATTAGTGAATGAATTTTGAAGACTTACAAACCTAATGTCTCAGTAACCATTCAGTTTGAACAACATAAATAGTGTAAATAGTTAAAATACCTCATCTCAGAAATATAGACAGGAGAAAGACTGTATACACTTTGCTTATTCAGAAAGACTGTATACACTTATTATATATGCTGATGATGCCACATGTTTCAGAAGCACTTCCAAAAATCAAAATTTTCAGAGCCTTACAGCTGATCTCTCGCCTGATCAAGTTCTAACAGCTCAGTGGTGGAAAAACTGGCTTGTAACTTTCAATATCTCTAAAACCAAACAAGCAACATTTCATCATCACCAATTGAACACTGAGCTTTTCTCCTGTCACAATGCATGGTTGCACTTGCAACTGTTATACTGAGATTTCTGGAGGTCAATCAAACAAAAAAGAAAGAAAGAAGGAAGAATAGAAGAGAGACTATTAACTTGATGATAATTGTTGAAATCAAAGGAAGATAGATTGAAAAGTTGAGAAGAAAATTAAAAATGAAATGTGTTTGAGATAATTTCAAGGAGAATCGAACTCACATTCAGCCAGATGAAATTCAGTAAGATTGAACAAACCCAAGACTCTCCGTTCTTCTTCCCCTATTACTGGTAAGAAAGAGACCATTAAGGTATTCACAAAGATGTCTGATAAAATAAAAACATGTTTCAAATTGACCACCCAGAAGAAAAGATCCCACATGTTCATCATTATAATTTTGACACATTCATCCAGAGAAAATTTTATTTCCAAACAATAATTCAGATTCCCTTGGATAGAAGTGGTAAGAAAAAATTAATATTTTGAAGTGACCATGGACAAAAAAAAAGCTGGATTGTCTATTCAATCATAAAAAGAATGCATGAGACAGAGAAAAGATAAACTTTCATTTTAAGGAGAGTGGAAATAGATTTTTCTTTCTCCAATTCTTGAGTAGTCTGGTCAATCAAGGGATCTCTAGCATGGGGCAAGCTGATAGATAAGGACCAATGACTGAAAATCCCTTTTGTCTTTGTTGTGACATCTGGAAACAGGCTGAGGTTGGCTGCTGGGAAAGTAGGAGAAGGAAGAGAAGAAGGAAGAAGAAAAGAGAAGGGAGAGAGACCACCCATATAGAGCAATGGTATGAGGCGAAGTGTAAAGAGAGTAGGAGTTAAGGAGTAGGTTGATTCCTCTGACCACTCTCAAAAGGGGGATGGACAACCCTGAATTTGAAAAATCACTTGAGTAAGTGTATTTTTATATATGTAAATTTAGTAAAGGTTGATACTAAAGGTAGAAGACAACTGAACCCAGACCTTAGTCAACCCCACCTCTGCTGGATGCAGAACTCCATATAAGCTGGAGAATTTGGACTCAGAACTAGAATTAAGAGGAGATTGCAGACACAGCAAGAGGAGAGACAGAGAGGGACACATCAGAAACTGCATTGTTCACTGAGACCTCCTGATCAAAGACTTTGTACTGTACATGAAGACTTAGAAATATAAATTACTGCTAAAACAAGCTACAGACTCCGAAGGGGATCCCAGTGTTATTTGATTCTAACAGTGAGTAGGAAGGGTTGAAATTGCTGTATACAACAAATTATTTATAAACCAATTCATTGTTACATTTTTAAGCCAAGTTAATTCTTTATTACAAAGGATTCTTGTTTTTTGTGTAGCTCCCAAATACTTGAAGAGACTTCACTCCAAGTTTGCTTCATCAACAATCTCCTCACCCTCTGAGATCAAAAACATAGCAGAGGAGTGAGTGGTCATGAACAAATGCCAGCTAAGTTAAGTGGAAACATGCCACCATCACAATACCAGCAACAAGAATTATGTGTCAATGAGTGAAGAATCAGCTAAACGGTAACCATGGCAGTCTGAAGGAACTTGAGGACTGACGACTGGGTGACATAATTGGTTAACACTGTCTAGGGCTGAAAACCGGGGTAGATATTTGGTTACCACTGATCAGGGTCAACTCAGGAGTAGTGTACACAACAAGGCTCTATACTTTGAATATCTAAGGGACTTAAGTTCACTTCAAACTTCAAGTGGAACTCATATATAAGATCCAATGCTGAAGATGCTAGAAAAATGTTTGGCTCCTTGTACCACTCCAGAAAGAACCTGACACCTTCTGTCATGCTTTATCTTTACAAGAATCTGATTATACCAAAAATGGAGAATTGCTGCCATCTCTGACTTGGTGCCATTTAATCTTTACTTTTCAGCCTTGACAGAGTTCAAAATTCTTTCTGTAGTCTTGTAGAGGATGACATTTTCCATTCTACAGCCCCTTTCCTCACAGACATACAGTTGCAAGCCTATCACTACTCTATTGCTATTTCCATGGCAAGCATTCAGATGAGCTCTACTCTTTAGTTAAACCAGTTCAAGCTTTTACACCTAGGACTTGCCATGTTACATTCATCATTGAATTAACTACATTTCCTCTGTATTCCATTTATAAGGAGGAAGTTTCACTCAGATAGCTTTTTCCCAAGAACTGCAACTTTATGAAACAACCACCTGCATTGATGTTTCCCTACACACTACAATGTTAACCTCTTCAAGTCAAGGGTCAGTCACTATCTATCCTTCTTATCTTCTTAATATTCACTTCCTTTTACCTCCTCTTATATTCACATCACACACCACATTCAGTAAAGCTCTACCATGAGTGCCACTTGAGCCTTGTATAATTGAATTGTACTATTATCTTACTTACGGCCATATCAGGTTAAAACACTGGTACTCATACAATCACCAAAGTTAAGCAATGTTGAAACTGGTTAGTACCTAGATGGGTGACCACTTGGGAATACCACATGCTGTAAACTTGAGTGTGTGGATAACTTCTCAGAATTGTTAATCAGAGATCTGAGTTCCAATTTCCCTTGAGTTTGTTATATTCACTTATGCACAAATACCCTTTGGAAAAATGAATCCACCTCTTCTCCCCCCAGCTATGGGTTAATTAGTAAGACTTTTATCACTAAATCATTATTATCTCAAAAAAATTCTTACAACATAAAAATATTTTCTGGATTTAAATGACCTGCAAAGATTTGATTAGCCATAAAAAACAAATCAATCAAATCAAATTGAATATATCTATAGCAAATTGATACGGCTTCCTGAATCAAAGTCTAGTAGATTGAATTCTGTATTTTAATTGATTTTATATTTGTTTTTGTTGTTAAAAAGTGTTTGTAAAAATGTATCTTTAGCATCTGCTATTCTCTGTTAACATCTATCAGGCATTAAAATGTTCTGAGATTTTCCACCACATGTTACTTGTTTTCATTATTTAGTAAAAAAATGGTTGAATCTAATTTTGTTGTATATTTAACTTCTTTATTGATTATCTAGCTAGTAAAAGTACTTTAATGTCCTTCCATATTTGTAGAAACTAATAAAATGTGCTTACAATATGACTAACTTGCATCTACTGCTTTAATATAGTCAATGATTTTTGAAAGAATTCTAATCTATTTTCCTAGAGTAATTATCCCTATACCTAACTCAGTGTATCTTACCAAGTTCAAATTCTATAATGTTGATTTTTTTCTGTTACTAAAAAAATTCTTACCTGTTTTTTGCAATGTTATATTTAAAAAAAATATAAAAATACTGCAAATATTTGTTTAAAAATAATTAATTATAAAAATACTGCAAAAATTTGTTTCAAAAACTTAATTATAAAAAATAGTGCTAAAAATTTGTTTAAAAAAGTTAATTATAATTTTTATAATTAACTTTTTAAATAAATACTGCAAAAATTTGTTTTAAAAAATTAATTATAAAAATACTGCAAAAATTTGTTTTTAAAAAGTTAATTATAGAAATACTGCAAGAATTTGTTTTTAAAAAGTTAATTACGAAAATATTGCAAAACTTTGTTTTAAAAATATTAATTATGAAAATATTGCAAAAATTTGTTTAAAAACTTTCATTTCTCTTTACAACCTATGTATATCCCCAACCTATATATTTTAAAAATATGTACCTTCAGTCATAGATCTCCACAGATTCTTTTTCTTCATATTTGAATTTCCATACCTTCAGTCTTCCTTGCTATTTAATCTATATCTAGGAGGAGAAGAAATAGCTTCATACCATTTCTAAGGATATTTGTGTGAAAGTGAACACAACTGAATAGACTGGCCAATTTCATATTCTCTCTTGATATCAATTATACTTACCCACCCGTCTACTGTAGTTTTTTTCTTTTTTGTAGGAAGACCTGCAAAATGGCTGAAGCTTGCTGAAAGCATTTACGATGAATGCAATTCTAATTGCTTGAGTTTTTCTGTTGACGAACTGTGCACTCACCTTAATGCTGATCACAATTTCTATGCAGTTTGCCGTAGTTTGTTGTCCTCTTACGCTTACCCTAGAGCCAAACTGCATGGATTGTTGCATGATATTCCAAAAGACATTGAAGCCAAATGGAAACTTGGACATTGGTTACAGGAATGCCAGAAACCAACCATAAAAGAAGGACGGTTAAAAGCTAAGAACCGACTCATAAAAGCCCTGGAAAAAATACTCAATGTATAACATGCACTTGGTTCAAGGATAGAGCAGTAACCTGGAGGGCAGAGAGGCCTGAGGATCAGGTGATATGTTCGGTTTGTCTTTGGTATCTCTTTATGACTCTTTATTCAGTCAGTGTATGTAAGAGCGTAGATGAATGAGGAGAGGTAAATGAAATAGAGATCAAGTGAGAGAGGGGAGGCTGAGAAAAGCAGTGGGCAAAGGAGGGAAGGAATGAAACTGTTAGGCTGTGATTTAATAATCTAAAAATGTTTCCCCATAAAGTTTAAATTGAAAGAAAACAACACAAAGAAATGAAAATCTATTATTTATTTGGTGAAATGTTATTTAAAAGAAGGGATGGTTGTGCAGAGGACAGCTGAAAAGAGAAATGGAATCATTATTAATAACAACTCAGAACAAATGTAAGATAAAATGTATTAAACCCTAACAGATGGTTAAGAGATAATATAATAATCATATACTAAAATAAGTTTCAACATGGTGGAGAATATCATGGAGAATTGTTATCTTTTGGTCTCTTTTAAGAATCACAAGACTTCACTGGTGGGAAAATTCAATGTGTATATAATAATAGATGAGATTTTTTAATAATGGTTTTGATATCAACATATATGTTATGTAAATTTAAAAAAGCCCTTTAATGTAATCATATTTGATTATAAATGAGTGTGAATTTGATATAATAATAGATAACATTAAATCACAAAATATAATAATATAAAAGATAATAGTAATGGATAACATGGTTGTGCAGAGGACACTTAATGAGGAAAATGAAATAATTATTAATAAAGAAAATGTGTAATAAAACAAAGTTTATAAAAGTTAAGATGGACCAGAATTAGCTGAATAGTAAATGTTACGTGAGGAGAGAGGAAGATTAAAGCTTAACCGGAATGCAAAAACAGACATGACTGGATCTATTGGGAATTGTGCAAGTGACTTTGTTTTAATTATGCTCATCAATGGCATATGCACAAACCAGAAACTGCTCCTAAGGAATAGAAAAAGTAAAATTTAAGGGGACTTTGAAATTCAAATAGATCATTCTATCAAAGCGAAACTGATCTAGTCATTGTAAACAAAGAAAAGAAGATCTACAGATTTTGGATGAAAAACTAAAAATGTTTGTATATTGCCAGAGAAAGGAAGAAAGTTTGGATCAGGAAGGTGATAGTTTCACCTATTATGTTTGGCCTGCCTTGATCCAGACAAAAAGACTACTAAAATTATCCAGAATACTGAGGAAAGTGCTGGAGTTTGGAGAGAACTTGTTGCCACTTGATTTCCAGTAAGATTCACCAAATATTACTGGTATGAAGACTAAATGGTTGTAATATAATAAATATATTATAATTTAGTAAAGTTATTTAAAAATATTTATTTAATACATTTGAAATAAAAATTGAGCTTTTCCTATTAAGATATTATTAATAAAGTATTTACTTTCCTTTATAAATATTAACAATCGCTAATCACATAAATAATACTATGCTCTATCTTTGCAATAATCAGATCAAACCAAAAATGGAATTTTGCTGCTATATCTTGGCTGGAGCTACCTGTTCCTCACTCATGTATCTTGATAGAGTCTAACAGTAGCACCTGGCAAAAATGAGGAAATGGAAGTTCAACTGGTGAAGAATTTGGGTTTATTTTGCAAGTAGTGTTCGAAGTGGGTTCTTCAACATGAAACTAAAACTAAACATAAACAATTTTCTATAAACTTTGTCCAATATAAAAGACAATAATTTGCATACATAAAGAGAGAATTTGACATCTTTTTTTGCCTTACATTTTCCTGTTAAAGCAAACACACATGGCCAGAATGACAAATGCTCTTAAAGATGCAGTGTACAGTAGTGTACGTACCCTTGTAATAATGTACCCACAAACAAAACAAAAAAAGGGGGAAGGTAACTCACACTCATTTACATGGTTCTCCAAAATAAGAATTACTTAAAACTATTTTACAAAAAATCTATGTAAAGATATGTCTCCTTGGTGAGGAGTGTTTCATGCATTAGCACAAGTTTGTGGATTGACCATTCCAATGTTGTTAGTGATCTGTCTCTCCTACCATTCTTGTCTAAGGCCTTATCTCCAACTGAAACCCTTACAGTGCAGACCAAACTATCATTGTTAACAAGAGTTTCAATAATGCATCGTAACTGCTACACATTTCTGGATAAGTTCTTATCCTTCATTAGAACTACATCTCCAATAGCAAGGTTACATCACGGAGCACACCATTTGCTTCTCTCTTGAAGTGCTTGGAGAAATTCTCTTTTCCAGCAAGTCCAAAACACATTCATCAAATATTGTACTCAACACCATATCTTCCGACAGTATAAATCCTTTATATTTAACGGCCACCCCCACATGGGTCGTATGTGGCACAAGGCCGGTTTATTATGGGTTCTCCAAGCCCGTAGTCTCAGCCAAAAATATTCCCTTAGAACCCGTATAAATGGGTTCATGGCCTGTCTACTTCCCTGGACAAAACCTTGCCCTTCGGCAAAGCTTCATCTGGGTTCCTCTCCGCTGAGGTGGAGAGTTTGACAGTCATGAATGGTTTGGCACCATTCCCAATTTTTTTTACCTCACCACTCTGTGAGGCAGGATGTGGCACAAGGCCTTTTTTAATGCGGGGTAAAACCGAGCCTGTAGGCTCCAGTTAAAAATTATATTGCCACCACCTGGAAATTTTCAAAGAACAGATTTATACTGGATTTATATTAGGGATTGCTCTGGGAAATAGTTGGAGATTTGTCTCCAGCGAAGATGGTAAAACTCTCTGCCTGAAAGCAGAGAAGAACCCAGACAAGGCTATGCTGAAGGGCAGAGTCTTGTCTGGGGTGGTAGACAGCTACTCGACCCTGTTTTTTACAGGGAATTTCTGTGAGTCTATCACTGACAGTGTCGGTTGATTTTCCCTTTTGGTGCTTTTCTCTTTTGGAGACACATGATGATTTTTGGATTTTTCTTATATCTTAAACATAAGGTTGCAGCTTTCACTGCTCCTGTCCAATAAGAGAAATAATCAAGACGATCAACTATTGAAGTTTTCTCAGAAGGTTCTGCAATGACAATGAACGCATGGAATTTCTTTACTTCTGAGTCTTCTTCTGCCATGTGTTGTTTGCTATTTTTCTGACAGGGTGTAAATGGCAGGCTAAAATCTCACAAGAAATCCGAACCATTAAACCACATCCTTTTGTTCATTAATTCTTTGGGTCTAGCTCGTCATGATGCTATATCTTCAAGATTATTA